TTTCACAGATGACTAAATGCTGCTTTAAATGCATATATATAATCAAAAACTGAATGTTATGATTTTTTGAAATGCTTTAATTTGAACAGTAAAGTGAACATCAATATAAAAATATTTTTGTAAATACGTAGCGAATAGACGGCGAAAAAAGCGTTTACTTTAAAAAAGAAATTCAGCTTGAATATTTGGGAAAAAGAAATAAAAATTATATTTGCAGAAAAGAAACTTTTCTGTTACCTTTAAATTCAACAAAAATTATACTATTCCAGGTTGCGATTTGTTCTCAAGTATTATGCCAAATTTCAACTTGCTCTCTGCTCGTTCTACCGGTATCATTGATACGTATTTGAAGAACGATAAAAAATAGATGATTTTGTAAGCAATGACAAAAAGCATAAAAAATTTTGTTATCGAACATCATAAAAAAAGGATACTTTTAGAATAGAATTATTTGGTTCTTACCTGATAATCATATATAATTTTAATGTTATTAGAAACTTCAGGATATATATATAATAAGTTGAGTTAAGCACTTTGTAAAGGAGTGTATATCAAAGTATCGGTTGTGGAGAAGCTGCTCACTTGGATTAGACAGTGGCCAAAAATAAGTGCCCTAAATAATACAGTTTGTCACCACTCCATTTCAGAATATTCAGAACTGTTTACAGAAATATTTTCTTGGTGGTTGATTTCCGAGGAAATATCAATTATTTTTGTTTTCTTGATTATGACGGCATTGATTTAAGCGTAGGCCCAGGATAGAAGTTCAATTTACAACATGCACTTTACCAGAATTTTGTTTTGCCATGTAGACATTGAGAGATTTATACGCCGTAAAGTTGTTTATTTAAATTTTATATTATCAATGATGTCGGCTTTTTTTGTCTTCTATGCTGTATAAATGTTGAAAGAACGATTAAACATGTTTAATGGCTATAAACAGTTTATTATATCAGCGTAAATAAATATTGATATTTTTTATGTTTAAATGAACAATAGAAATCTGCTAAATACGGACAAACAATGTTAATGCACTCAAAATAGACATGCTAAAAGTGGTAACAAATCTGTTAATTCTATCATTGCACATG